AATTTTTTAAACAAAGAATAAACATTTTATTTGTATATTTACACTACATTAAATAATAAATTAATAATATTAATTAAATTAAATATTAAATTAATAATATTAATTAAATTAAATAATAATACTAATATTAATTAATAAATTAAATATTAAATATTAAAGATAATAATTATTATTTTTTAATCTATTTTCATAATGTAATAATTGTAATTCAAAACCAGTATTAGGTTGTACAATATTTCTTTTTTGTTTAACGAATTGTAAAGTATTAAAATAAGACCATTGATTTTTTCTCATTAAATATGCAATTAAAATGGAAGCACTTCTACTTTTACCTTTCATACAATGTATTAAAACATTTTCATTATTATTTAAACATTTATCAATATAATTAAATGATTCATCAAATGTATGATCTATTTGTTCATCTGACATGTCATATAAATGTAAATTTAAATATGAAAATCCTTCATTAGGATAAAATGGTTCTAATGATTTTACACAAGTTACAATATTTGTTATATTATGATTTTTTAATTCAGGTACATTCATTGCATCATTTATATCTCCTAAATATAAATTATCAGTTATTTTAGAGGCTAAAAAATTATTTGAATATGGTAAATAATATCTAACTTGTTGATGGGCTTGATAATAATATGATAATACTGATCGGAATATTGATGATTTTGTATATTTTACATTATTATTTGTATTATTATTTGTATTGGTATTAATAGTTTGATCATCAGTTGATTGATCAGTAATAGTTGTTGTTGTTGGAGTGGTTGGAGTGGTTGGAGTATTATTTGAAGCCATTTTTTTTTTAAATGAATTTATTAATAGAAATATCTATTTATTGCAAATGAAAAGTGAACATCACGTTTGAAATTAATACTTCTTTAGAGGGCTTGGTAATTAATTAAATTTTCAATTTTCTCCTTCATTCACTATTATTTTATATAACAAAGCATCAATATTGAAGGTCTATTGTTAATACTCACTGCATCTTTGAAAAAAAACAGATCTTCTTAAGGTGAAATTCATAGAATGTCGTTGAAAATCCAGATGTTTTGTTTAATTTTAAGGCCAACCCAGATTCGTTTTATATTTCTATGATGTCTTCCTGCGTTTAATTAATAACAATGGTAAGGTCATGTTGACCACGTAATATCATGAACATTTAACTCAACACGGGAGCTATTGTTATGATAGGCAATCATATTCAATGGTAGTTCTTCGAACTTGTAAATGAGGTACGCTATTGATAACGACAACAATGGATTACAAATAGTCTAAGTGGTGTTTAGATGTACGCGCAAATTTCGGTTGTTCATTTAATATTTTATTTTAAGTCTATATATTACTGTATATTTCCAATCAACCGCTGTCAAGTTTGATTTTTGTAACCTGTAA